AAAAAAAAAAAAAAAAAAGAAAGGAAAAACGAGCAATCATCTAATAAAGTTTAATTTTTGAGTAGTACAAATAACTGTAAGATGGTATGCTAAACGTATTTAGTACAGTAAAATAGTTTGTATTTATGCCTGGGTGTCTATATATGCAAAGTGCTATTTACACTCCTAAGGCTGTAAACTGCTCATCTTCGGCCGCCATTACTGAAACTACTTCAAAAAATGAAATAAGGGGATATAACAAAGTTTCTAGGAAAACTCATAGAATGGGCAAGCAAAAAGGAATTTTGCTATAGATTACTATTCTTCAAAGTAGTAGAAAAGTGGCTTACAATTTTCCAGAAGTAAAGGAAGAGTAGGTGTTAAATGGAGTATCATATTTAGAGACATAAAATATTCATGGTGTACTGTACTGAGACCACACTTCAATGTTTCTATTGTACTGCTGCATCAATATGTGATGACATATTGTAATGTTTATGCCAAAATGCTGTGATATCAGGTTGCCCTGTTTCAAAACTATTCTGTGAGTCTGGCTCTCCTTAACCAGATGGTAAAATGGCTCTTACAAAGCAGTCAACAGCATTACAGTTTGGTTTGGTTAAAAATGTAACCCTTAAAGATATTATTTTAAATGTACACCAACTTATTTTATCTTTTAATGTGAAATGAGATAGCACGCCTTGCTGTGAACTTGTGATTTTTTCCTTATTATGCCCAGTTCATGTACCATAAAATCCAGAGATTTCCATGAAGTCTTTGAACAATGTGTATAAATTTCTGTTTATACATGTCAAGAACACTTTAATTCTTACTACATTTCTGTTTAAGCATCTGTATGATACTTTATTTTCTTAATGAGAGAGAAATAAAGAACAGTTCCTCTACCCTGAGCTAAACAAAAGTGAAATAAATTTAGTATTTATATGATTACATAAAAAAATTGGGGCTGATGTGATTTCTTTACAATAGCAGAAAATGGCAAAGTGGGGGGTAAGGGAACGAGAGATAATCTACCATCTTGTTTGTAATTCCTATTTGATGCCATTATTTTAACATCATGTTTACTCAATTGATTATATTTCAGTGCCATGGGAAAATACTTTGTTAAATTAATTCAGGAAATAAGACCAGCTACTTTCTTCACTTGAGAAGCATGAAAAACTATTTTTTTGAACTAAGGTTTTTTGTAGTCTGTACTTTCCAAAACAAACATTTTACAGTTTGAACACTAGGGGGCATCTTTGTTTCTTGAAATAAAGGGTCTTGGTTGTGATCTAAAAAAAAAAAAAAAAAAACCTAAGCAGTGAAACATTTTTTGATTCGCATTTTGTTTTGTCAAGCATGTTGGCACCGCAAGGTTTATGGCTTTGGGCTGGGCATTTTTGTTTCTATATTAATTGAATGAAGCAGCATGTGTGAGTGTGAAGAGAGTAGGATAGTATCTAGTACATAAACAGTACTCAATAGATATTTGTTCCCTTCCCAGGCCTCCTTCTGTGATTTAACTTCAAGATAAAACTCGACAGATCCTTAAAAGGCAGACTGCTCAAAAATATGTGCTTTCAGACTTATGTGTATTAAACACTAGAACTTGCATGTTCATTTATTGAAAAATGTTTTCTTTCTGAATTCATTAAGGGTTCTGCTTTTCCTTGATTATAGCAAAACTAACTTATTGGGGATAACAAGGTTATTTACTTCTTCAAAGCCTTACATTTGTCAGCACCAAATCTCTTTTGTCTTTCTTCCTCTCTCCTCTTATTGCTTGACTTTATAAAAAGGTCTAAACAAAAATGTATGGTAGTATGACAGAGAAAGTCACAGATAACAATGATATCATTCACAACAAGTCCCTTCTTCTCAGGAGACAGAAGAACGGAGAAGCCAGTGTGGACCTGCTTCCAAGGCTGTACTACCTTCCAGGGTGGTGGTGCAGTTTCTCAGTCCACCATCAAATTATTTTTCCTTTTACAACGTTTCTGGTGGGGACCAGAGACAAGGAGGGAAGAGAAAGCAGGGAACTTCTGTTTGCCGCTAACTCTGCTGGCAGTCTAGAATTGAACCCACTTAGGTTCAGGGGCAGGGAGGGTGGGCCAGAAGTTAGGGGTGGAAGAAGCCCTGTTCCAGCTGTTCTCGTTTCTAAATGCACATATTCACAGAAGAATCTGTTGTCTGCCATGTGCATAGTTCATTAGGGCTTATTCTGTGTAATGAAGTTCTCCACATCCTGTCATATCTGATTCTTTCCCTCAGTGAGTTTTCTGATGCCAGTTCTGAATTGGCACCCCTCTTCCAACTGTTAAACAAGGCAGCAGTCACTAATGACAAATTTGGGAAGGAAAGAGAGGGGAGAGCTCCTCTTTTCACTGCCCATAAGTGAAAGTCATGTGGAATCTTTTTAAAAAAGTTTTTTTCCAACTCCAAATTAATCATTTCCTCTGACTTTTAAAATACCTGGCTTATATATACATTATAGCACTCATTAATCTGACATGTGTTAGTTATATAAACCTCTGTTTTTCCTATTGGGTTGCATTCTTTGAAAGTAGGTGTTATATTTATTTCAGAATACCTTGGTCTTAACCTGATGCTTTGCATATAATAGACTCAATAAATGTTAAACTGAATTGAATTATCAAATATCTCACTGAATTATGCCATTTTATTGCTGGTAAAATTACTTGAAAAGGAAATCAATGGCTTTAATTAGATAAAAGTGAACATAGGAAAATTAATTTGTTCATAGTTTTGAAGTAAACCACTCAAAGAACCAGGATCTAAAAAACAATTCCCATAATCTTAAGCATTATGACTTAAATTATGCAGCTTCTCATGTTTTTCCTTATCACTGACAGACTAAATTTTTTTTACTGTAAATTGTTACACATAAAAAAATTCTTTGTCCTCACTAATCATATATAGCCTGCAAGTAAAACAAACTACAGATCAGCATAATTTTAACAGAGATGAAGTCTAAAAACAGGGGAAGCCTTGTCCCCTGCAAAGGTCCTACGTGGATATCAGAACTAAAAGAATCCACAGAGCACTCAATCTTGTGTTCTGTTTTGGGAATGGAACAGTCACTCTGTATAAAGCAGCCACTCTGTATAAATGTAGACGTGCTATTAGCCAGTGCTTCAAATTCTGATGGTATAACCTCCGGTAAATGCTGAGTTAGGCAAAATGAGGATAGTCTCTCTTCTGATTCTGACTGTAGTTTGGTAGGTCCTCCCCAATAAATTTTAAGGATGGCATGAATTCTATGAAGATGAAATTCATTTGGGTTTTGAAATCTTTTATGCTACATTCCAATTCAGTGGTTCTTAGCAGAGAATGTACACCAGCATCAGTAACAAAGCTTTTCCACATTCAAGTATGCCCAGCCCCGCTCTTGGAAATTCTGATTCACTAAGTCTAGGGAGAGTTCTGGGAAACTGTATTTTAAAAAATTCCACTGGGGTTTCTAATGTGAAATATTAATGTAAAAAAATCATTACATTATGTAGAACTCCTTGAGAAAAGGCACCATTTTGTCTTTTTGGTCTCTCCAATACCTAGCGTATTGCCTTGGCATGTGGTAAGTGCTCAGTAATTGCTTGTTAAATGAATGAACTTTATTGCTTCTCTTTTTGGTTCTGTCTACTTCTATGGAGAAATGGAATGAACTTTTGTGTAATAGTATAATCACACGCAAGCAGTGACTTGGGTATTTAGCTCAGGTTAACAGACCGCCAATTTGGCCCTCAGTCCAGTGAGGTCTACTATATAAAGTAAGAACAGACTTTTTAGATTTTGAGGACAGCACTGAAACAGACCTAGTTTTGCAGCAACCTGAGACACTTTAGTAGCATGAAAACTTATAAAAAGTATCAAATAGGCAACCTGTTTCCAGTTTGTTCCTTTACAGTGGAGGTTCTCAATGAGAAAATTGTTATTACGGTTTTTCTAACTATGTACACAAAATAGGAGTAAAAAAGAAAAAGTTTGTTTTAAAAATTATTTTCAAAGATATTCCACTTAAAGGTTCTCCTGACTTCTAAAAGATAAACCTGTTGAACTCTAGATAAACAGCAGTACAAGTGGCTTTATGCATTTATTCTAGCAGAAGAGCTTCAGAAATAAAATCTGGGTGTAATATAGTCAAAGGAATACTTACACTCTCACTCTGAAAAGGATTTAAGAAATTTCCCCCCATTTCGCCATCATCCCTTGGAGTGCCCGGTTGATTACTCAGGCTCATATTATTGGGAGAATTCTGTAAACAAGATTTAGAAAACAAGGCATTGTTGAAGATTTTAATTTCCCTCTTGCATTGTACTGTTTCGAATATTGAATCTATAGCAGCATCCCTAAGGACAAATCATACTTATAATTTTAATCTTAGACTTCTACCACGTATTCTATTTCATTCTTTGCACTTTGACAAGTACTAATGCCTTCCCAAATGAAAATCTAAAAAACAAACAAAAAAACCCCAATAACCTACCACAACTATTTTCTTAGGTTCAGAATCAATATTTATTCAATTTCCCACCCTCAGCTTAGAGAGTTCCTAAAACTCTGGAGAGTTTAAAACATTCCCAGCAGGGGCATGATGAAGAGATCCTACCCACTGATAAGACAAGATGGAACAATAACTCCCTTAGTCATTTCACTAACCAAACTTTGAAAGGTCACTGTTTTAATAAACATTTCATTTTAATTCTACATGCAGTATACAGATAACACTATTTCAACCATTTTTACATGAACTTTAAGGAAAAAAGAAAGATAGCTAACTACTGTAGTTAAGAACAAGAGACACCTCAGGACTTGAAAATTTATTATGTACTTTTAGAGGAAAAGGGGGCTCAAAAGAAAACTGCTTTAGAACATTTTCCTATCATTACTTTAAGAGTAGATTTACTCTGGAACTTTCCTTGAAAATAAAATGACTGCTATTAGCAATCTAATCAAACACCAAGTTAGCAGTGCATTGCTGCATATTCTATTTAAATTTGCTAGTCTCACTACTACCGCACAATTTTAGCCATGGCAGGATACCTGATACTCCACATCAACAGGAAATATAGAATGACATTGGACTATAAACCATGTTTACACAGTAGTATAACTGTAATGCTTTCAAGGTCCAATTTATTAACTTGTAAAAAAAAAAAAA